TATATTTTATTTCTATTAAAATAAAATATTAGTATAGATGTTATTCTTACAAGGAGTATATTAGATATAAAAGTTAAAGAGGGCTAGCTCTTTAGCCTATCAGGCTTATCTAGCGTTTAAAACTTTAGTACTTATAAAGTATTCTAGTAAATAGTAATCTATATAGACTTTAGTTAGAGCTTAGATTAATAGTAGCTTTAGTTACTATTTACTAAATATAGTAATAATAGTAAATAATTCTTTATTATAGATTTTCTAGTTTAGTTTAGACCTAGATAGAATCTTACTATAGAATACTATAGAGTACTATTTATTATTAGGTTATAGTTAGAATAAAACGCTAGCTATAATACTATTACAGGCGTTAGTCTCTATCTTAGTATTATATTCTAGTTAGTAGTAATATAGAGTAGGTATTATTAAGAGAGTAATTTTTAACCTTTCAAAGACTTATTAGTAATCTAAGTTCTATATAAATAGCTATAAGAGACTCTGTAGAGTAATAAGTAGTTTTATAATTTAGAAATATTTTTAAATAAATTATTAATAAAAAGTAGTAAAGTCTAGAAATAACTTTACTCTAGTTATAGTAGTAGGGGGCTTCTAATCTCTTAAGGCTTCTACTTTCTTAGAATATATCTCTAACTATTAATTAGTTATAATATACTCTAGGTATTTAGTCTAGATAATATAGAATTTACCTTTTTTAATATTAATCTAGAGTTCTAATATTTATAGTTATCTAAGTATCTATTATATATAGAAGACGTAATCCAAGAGAGTTTTAAAGTATACTAAGATATTATTTAAGTAGACTATATAAAATTAGTCTAAATAGTTAATTAGTATATTATTTATATAGTGCTAATATATAGTAGAACTATTATATAGTCTAAAAGACAATATCTTTAATTTATAGATTTTATAGTAAGTATAGAACGTAGTATATTTCTTAGAGTTAGAGTCTATGTAGATCTTATTAAAGATTATATAAATATCTAATTTAGTAAACAACTTAACTTTATAAGTATAGACTAATAATTTATTAATATAGAGGATTAGATAGAAGTCTTTTTATATAATTAAATTTAGCTTATGGTAATTAATATAAATATATAGGTCTCTATTAGGCTTTTAAATATAAAGAACTAGAGATATAAATAGATAAAAGCTTAGGTTAATATAACTCTTTTAAAGATTTTCTATTATAAAGGTTTTTATAGCTTTAAGTTCTTTAGTACTCTACTTATATAGAGAGCTAAATTAATTTAAAAGAGGTTTAGTAAGAATAATTTAAAGTTATACTACTAATATTTAAGTAATTAATCTATAGTACTTTTACTAAATATATCTTAGTAAGAGTAGTATTTAAAAGAGAGCTAGTTCTAAACTAATTTAGGATTCTTAGAGGAATTTTTCTTTTCTTATTCTTATAAGATATAATCTATTTTATAAATACTAGTTCTAAAAAATATATTTTTCTTTTATTATATAGCATAACAGAAAGTATTAGTAGAGATAACTATAATATAAGATAAAGTAGAGAGAGAGAAAGTAGTCTAGAAGAACTGTAAGAAGAATTTAGTAAGTAATAAAGAAAAGTAAGTCTTAGAAAGTTTAAGATAACTATAAATTTATTAGACTAGTTCTTAGTAAGAGCTAGTCTACCTCTAGTAGATATTCTTTTTCTATAAAGTATTTCTCTATTAAATATCTAGTTCTACGTTAGTATTTAGAATAGATTAATTTAACTAAATCTATAGAAAAGAGTAAGAATTATAGATTAACGTAGTTTACAAGCGAGTGACGCGTACAAGCGAGTGACGCACCCCACCAACTTTGCGCACCTCTCATCTCTTCACATACAATGGCTCGACACCAAATTACTCAATCACATTCAAAAGAAGCAGATATTCAGCTTGCTATC